GGGAACAAAATGGGACATACTCTATAAAAACAATCACAAAGCAATTGGTGTAACTCTTTCAGAAAGGTTAGAGAAGGTCTGCAGTAAATAAATATTATTGAGAAACTTTTTTAAGGCTGTTTTTTGGGAAGAGTACAAAACAAATCACTTCAGCCATCCTACATAATGTAGATGGAGCAAAAAATTATAAGTTTAATCTTTTGGAACAGGTGATTTTTCATCATAAAAGCCCAGCACACCTCAATCAGATCTCAATTAATCCACATGTTTATCTCAAATGCAGCCTTAAAGATGATTTGTTATGTTTCCTTGAACAGGTTGGGTTAGGTCTGAAGGCTGTACAAAACATATTCGCTACATTTTTTGTAATGAGATTTTAGTTTCTGCCTATTTTGAGGGCTCTGTCACTTTCAATCCAAATAGGCTGCTGTAGGCCACTTCCTCTAACACAATGTTTACACTCAGATGTAAAAACAGCTGCGCAATTACACAACCGTATATCTTTGAGAAGCATTAGTACAGCCCCCTGCACAACCAACAAGAATGCAACGATTGATTTCTGAATGACAAGTCAACAAAAAACACTTGTCTTTTCCAGAAACGGTAAAACCAGCTGACCAAATGTGCTGGAGTTCCATTTGGGTTGCTAGGCGATGGGCAGAGTTCCGCTGGGGTTGCTAGGTAACAGGCTGGGACTCCCGGGGGTTAGTAGATGAAACACCAAAAAACATGAACTTATTGTCAAAAAACGTCTTGGTTGGTTTTTTAGTTGCGTGGGTTGTTTTCAGAAACAGTAGAAACACAAATGGAAGTATAAAAATGTGAATTTTGAAATTAAATGAATCACTTTATTGAAAATATAGTGGTCAGGATGTAAATATTGAACCTGAAAAACAGACTTTAAGGAAAGTGTAAGAATGGATTCTACTTTTAGACGATGATGCATCTGTAAATACTCTTTTCACCACTTTCCCAGCTCTGTTCTCCATTTGTTCAAGCAGCCATACATTTCAACATCCAGTCTTGCCCTCCCTGCAAAACAAGTTAATCCTGGGAGAGTTTCTGTCAGGCCCACGTGTGGCCCGGGACGCGTCCGGAGAGAAGAAGAAGGGCCGAGTAAGAATTCAATTATTCAGCTGGGAGAGCGTGTCTGTTGTGAGCGGCAGGCGCACGGCTGCCCGTTCCCAGCATGTAACAAGGGGGTTAAGAGCCACAGAAAGGCCTCCATTATCCCGAGTGAGAACGTCCCATGTGGCTGGCTGCACGGCTCAGGCTCTCATTCACTCCGCCTCACAACGGCGCTGCCCAAAGTCCCAAACTTTCACTTTGTGCCCCCTTTTTTTTTCTTCCTCTCAGAAAGGCGCCTTCACAATGCTGAAGTGGATTCTTCGGCACCCCCCATGGACAGCACACATGTGGACAACATTCACAGGATGTCCATCATCTTGTCCATTAATCAACGACATCTCATGAAAGCACAATTAGGAGCCTCACAAGTGTATCAGCGATTATCATCTCTAAGCACCCCTGCTAACTCCTTCTGCACAGCAACGCTTTGTGTGCAGCGTCAGTTTCAAACAAATCCACTTTTTCACAAATAAAAAAATAGCTGGAGTCGCATAATTGTGACAAAATAATAAGTGATTTGAAGGCCATAGATTCACATCTGGCAAATCATTATTACAGGAACAGAACCGCAGTGTGTTGGTCATCTCAGAATCACTTCTACTGATAAACGAGTAATTGTGTCCATCATCAGTAATGACTCAGAGGGGAGAACGCCATCCACTGTACAAGCTGACCTTACAGGGGTCATGTGACATCACATCTCTGATTCTGAGGCTCATTGTGAGGGCAACTCTGACGGCAAGCGGGATTCTCCATAGAAAATCAAAAATATTTGAATTATATGCAGCTTGGAAAGCTGAAATATTGTGGTGTAATGCTAAAGGTTGTCCTTGGAGCTGATTGTAAAGACTATTTGAGGACGGAAAAAGTATATTCATTCATTAAGGTATATTTGGTATTTGAGCTACTAAAATAGTAGCCAAATGTACTGTAATAATCTTATCTAATCCTAATCAATAACACTTTATAAGATGATTTTTACAGAAATATCTGTCTTAGGTGAATCGTTCCAGAAATTAGGTTAATTTAAAATGTGCTTTACTGCAAATAAAACAAATGAGCAACAGGTGAGTTAACAGCTTATATATTTTGCAATTTCTTTTAAATTAAATGAAACCAAACAAATAATTTTCTTTTTGTAAGATAAATATACATATGGTTTGTAATACTGGAAACCTTTATGGTAAAAAGTAAAGAAATATTACATAATTTGTATACTAAATACTGTACTAATATTGGTTTTCCTTCTCACTACTTGTAATTTTACTTGAAACTTCACTTTATTTACATTTAGTTAGACATCAAAAACTGAATTTAAGTCATTTTTCAATAGACACAAGTTCAGTTAATACCCAACTGCATAACTAGCAGAAATCTCATTCATTCCAACAGAGTCCAATGACGCTCAGCCCACTTCCATCCAAATAACCGTTCAAAACAAAGGAGAGCGGATTATTTAACGTCAGGTTGTTCGTTTACATGAAGCCGTTTGCATGCATGTGGCGACAGTAGAGAGGAGCAATCAAAGTTTAGGATTTTTAATGAACAGCAGAAACATTTGAGGCAACACTGGTGTTTGCTGATTATCTAACCAACATCGCCCCCTTGTGGAGCCTGTTGGTCCCTGCGTTTTATCTTTTATTTAGTAAAACTCTTAAACAGAGGAAACAGAATTTTCTCTGATGGCAAAGTGTGATTTCTTCCATGTTTCCTAGATGGGTTCTTTTAAACTTTTCAAATAATTTTTAACAGATTTAATTTCTCCGTCGATATTTGCTGCGTATTCAACACTTTTACTGGACAATGACTCCATATTTCACCAGAAAGACCCGATCTTCTGCAGAAAACAAAACTCAATTTCAAAACCAGATGCACCAGGAGTCCTGAGGGGTTTTGTCTCTCTGTGTAACTTTCACATGTATATCGGTGTGGTGCTAAAGCAACAAAGAACAATAGAAAATATTAATAAAAAGCTCGACAAGCTGATGCAGAATGCTGGAACCTCTTGAGATAATTGTGCAAGAAATTTTTCTTAAAATGAAGAGTATTAAAAGGATCTGACTTTAGTCAGAAGCTTATTCAGAACTGCTGTAACACTGACCACTGCAGGAAAAACAATTATTTTCAGAAATTGTTATATTTCTAAAATGGTACAGCTGTAGTAAAATGGCTATTATAAATTATAATATGACTCAGAAGTGGATCAGATTAATTGAACATTGAGAAAAATATAAACTTTTTCTGAAAACACGATCAAATTCAACTTAACTTTTGGGTTAGGAGTATCACTACAGATTTTCTACACAATTAAATTTTGTGAGTTTAATCCTTTTTAGTTTACCTTTTAGTGAAAATGCAAAATATCACATTAATAACAGATTTTCCAGTCAAAAAGAGGATGGATAGATAGTAGCATTAAACCATTTCCAGGTTGTAGACAAAACTAAATCTTGAATCATATTTTAAAAGTAAAATTTCACAACAACTGTTTGGAGTTAAATAAAAATGGATTCTGCAGAAACCCATCAAACATCATTATTGTTGTGGTTTGTTTTGCAGAAAACAGCAGTTAGCTTGAGCAAAATTAGCCTCTAGCGCTAACTAACCACAATAACGCATTGTTTCGGAAAACTCCTGGTTTTCCCACCCAAAACTGTGTTTTTCTGGGATGAGGCGAGCAAACGCAGCAGAAAATGTGTATTTCACAGACTTTCTGTGTTAAGATCGGCGTTTTTATTTCCTGCTCATGAATCAAGACATTGTTCTCAGACAGGATGTGGCTCCTGAAATATAGAAGATAAATGTTCAGACATGAGCTCGTCTTCGGTATTGTTTTTGTCTAAACAGAAAAAAAAAACATACAAAAATCACTATTTTTTATTACTAAGAACTTAAATAGTTCTAGAGTGGACAAGAAATAATTTACTATTGATAAAATAAATGTATAAATTGTCTTTGCATATATTTTAAGAACAACATTCTCTGCATGGAAGTATAAATTACAACAAAAACACTGTTCAGTTATCAAAATAGTAAAAAATGTAGCAAATGTTAATGTGTATTTGTGGATTTAAAATAGATAAAATGCAGAAATGTTCTTTAAAATGAGTAAACGGATCGGTGCGACTATTTTTAATCACAAATGTTCAGACTAGGGATGCACTGATCCACTTTTTTCACTTCCGATCTTGATGGAGATTTAGGATGTTAAAAAAATTGTCCCGTACCGATTTCATATAAAACACAGTGCTGTACTGAATTAAAATTGTTTTTTGTTGGGTTTTTTTAAAATACAGACATAAATGTGCTGAATTACACATTTATTTGGAAACTTTGCACCACATATAAATACAAAACAGTTCACAAACTTCTGTTCAGTCATTTATAAGGGTATGGCAGCCAATGTAAAATAAATAATAAAGAAAGCGTAGCTAGAAATTCAAAAGATAAAGTAAAATAAATAAACAATGACATTGCTCAGAACACAAGTCATTAATTAGACTGAATTTGTGTTACAGATCTAGATATCGGATCGGTGCATCTCTAATCACCAATCGATCAAAATTAAGAAATTCTGCACTGATAAATGGGTGTAGATCTACATGTAAATACTGAATCCACACATCATGTGTTGGACGTATCAGCTGCAGATATTTCTACCTGCTTTCAGGTCAGCCAGGCTGCAGGAGACCAAACTGTTTTTGCAAGCAGGCTTTCGTGAGCGTCACCTCGGGGACCAGCGGCGGACAACAGGATCCAGATGTGACCATAACGGTTCTGTTTCATAACCGTCCTGTGACATACCGATACACACACACACACACACACAGGGGGTGTGGCGTCACGTGGCCCACGTAAAGTTAAAACCCGGCGCACAGGAGAGGCTCAGAGACGGAGAAACCAGCATCAGACCATCATAACCTGCAGAGACGATGGACGCCGCTTACAAGAGAGTGAATGGAGACTACAGCCCGGAGGAAGAGACAGGAGAGCCGGGCACAGAGGTAAAAATATTAAAATATCACTTTTCTCTCACTCTAAACAAACTAATACACCTCTTTCATACATGTTTAAATTATTTTACAGCTCAATGTTGCTCTTTATCAATAGAAAATTCTGGTGAGCCAAAAACAACAGCTGGTTTTGCCTTTATGTGCTGTGAATAGACAGTAAAACAGCTGATGTGAGTGAAAAGCAAAGCCTCTCTAATGCACAGATCCACTGTCAGGAACTTTCAGCACCTGAAACTTCGCTCCCTGAAAATGAAACTCTTTAGCAAATGTTCAATTCAAACTGCTTCAGCAGTAATCTGCAATTTTCAGCTTTTAAAAACGGCAAAAAAAAAGATTCCTGATTTTTCTCAGTTCTGCTCTGCAGAAGGAAACGTTTTGTGCGTTTCCCGGGACCAGTTGTGTACATTTGGTCATGGAGGCGCAGGAATGCCGGGGTCAGACTCCAGAGGTCAAAGGGTCCAAAGTGTGCTTCAGGGTCGTCTCATGAATGTCACGGCTCAGAATGAGATCTCACACTCGATCCGTCAGCGGAAAAAAACGGAAATTGATTTCTGAGTTCCAGTAAATATGAATAGTTGATTTTTTTTTTTTCCAGAAAAGAAGGAACTCGTATCTGGAGGAAGACACCAGCAGGAAGGCGGAGGTGATCACCTGCATCTTTTCCCTGAAGGAGGAGGTTGGAGCTCTGGCCAAGGCCCTGCGGCTCTTTGAGGTAAAAAATGAACTTCATATCTATTCTGATGTTTATCTGACTCAGAATATATGAACATTTGATCCGCTGGCGTTTCGCCTGCTTAAAGGGGTAGTTCAAAAATGTACTTTCTACTCCAGGGAGCAAAATATCTTCAGACACCAACAGTTTGTACGTGATGCAACCTTGATGACGCATTATAGCTTTGTGAAGTTACAGATTAACATGAAACAAAACACACACGCGTAGGAACGGCATTTCAGCATCTAAAACTTAAATTTAGATTTTTTTTTTTCATTTTAGCACAGTTTGGATAAAAATATACATAGTTGAAGTATTGCTTGTTGTTTTGTTTTAAAGAAATTTAAAGATCCAGTTTGATTCTGTTTGGATGTCAGTCGTAGGTAAACAGCAGGAAGCTCTTTGATCCGCTGGCGTTTCGCCTGCAGGTTATCTCTCTTTTATTAAAGCGGACATGGCAGGAAACGTTCCCCTCTCTCTGCTGTTCAGCCAGAAACTTCAAGAAACTTTTGTATATTTTATATATATTTTAAGCATTTATCAAGAATAAATATGGCTGACAACAGTGCAAAACATCCCCAAAGCATGACGCTGCCACCACCATGCTTGACTAAACAGCTCAGTTTATGTCTGAGTATCAGATCAAACTTTTCCCTAGAAAACTGGATGAAGCTCCAAAGTCAACTGTTCTCTATATAAATCTCTGAAATTAAATCTAGCAGTGGTTTTAGGATTGCCAAAATTAAAAAAAGATTAATTTGCATTATATTCAAAATCACTTTTTTTTTTAGCATTTTTTGTAGCATTTTTTTTTTATGTCAATGCTTTGCCAACATCTTATAAATTGACTCAGAACATTTTAGTTAAATTAGATGTAGGCAAATTTACCAATTTCAGAAGAATCTGTTCAAATAATTATCCACAAGTATCTGAATGTTCATTTTCTCAAGGATTGCAAAGCAGTTCTGACAGGCTAGCAACAAGTTTGCAAAAAAAGCAATAATATTAAGGATATGGAATAAATATGCAAATTGCTTGCCATAGAGGTGCAGCTTTAACAGCACTAGGCTTGCCATAAGCTACCACTCTAGAGATTGAACTCATGCATCCTTGCATTAGTGTGGTGTGGAGTGCTTTAGTCGGTCGCTAGAACAGAAGAGACTTATGGCCACTGAAAGAAAAAAGTATTTTTTCTCATTTCTGACTTTTGATCCAAGAAATTTTGTTTTTTCTGTTATTTAGAGTCAAAATTCTGAGATTAAAGTCTGGTTTTCTTTGTCTAGATGAGAAATATTTAATCATTTTAAACAATAATCAGAAGATGCAATAGATGCAGATTAATCTCCTGGTTAATGTAATTAATCAACTGACTTGTTTTGCTTTCCACCTTGTTTTCTCTCTAGAGAAGTTTTATAGCAATATATTCTGGGATAAATATTTGCAGTGAAAACAATCGATTGATTATTGAGTACGTGACAGCATGACTGCCTGAGTAAACAATGATTGGCAGAAAAGCAGCTCAACCTTAAAGTCCATGTGTTTCTCTTTGTGAACAAAAACAAATAAAATGATAAAATAGCAATAAATAATGTTGTGGATTAAGTGGAATTTGTGAGGTTTTTATGAGTGAATATGTCGACTCTAATCAATGCCAAGTTTGAGTAAAAATGTTGCGCCAACAAGCAGCTGTAAAGTTTTTGGTGAACCTATGAGCTGCAGCTGTACAGATCCTCCCCCTGCTCCACCTCCACCCCAAACCGGGACGAAGGAACCGACTCCCTGCCGTTTCCAAACGAACCGAATCCACAACGACGTTAACGCAGCTCGAAGAGGAAACACGTTTCATGTGTCTTATCTTCATTCAAAACCTGAATAATTACAACTTCCTGACTGTCAATCTTCCTGCAACTCAAGCCACTTGTGACGCAGAGTCACGCCAGAGGTCGATCTTGACCTTCAACCTTTCAGGCTGATGCAACATTATTGTTGTCATCAGGATTCATGAAGGAGCGACGGTTTGCAAAGAGAAACCAGAAAACGTGACAGCAGGATCCTGATGATTTAACACTCAAAAATATCACCTGCAGCTCGGTTTTTAGTTTTTATATCAAGATAGAAAAGGTAAAGATAGGATATTCAAACAGAATGAAGTGTTTTTATTTTTAATTTCATTAATTTACAGATTAAAATTAGCATTTCACATGTTGACATAAGTAGTTTTCTTGTATACTTTACCTCTTCTCTCAAAAATGTATTTTGACTGTTTTTCCAGTTTTGTAAGAAGTCCTCAAAAATAAGATACTTTGCAAGGGGTTATCCTTTGAGAAATAAAAAATAAAAATGGAATTTAAGCAACTAAGATGTACAAATACAGGCAACATGTATATATAAAAAATAACAAATGAAAACAAAATATATATTTCAATATACTTTATATATTGCAATATATATATATTGATATACCTGGACTGAATATTATATTTTATTGTTTTGTAAAGTAGAAACTGATCTCTTCTCTCTTGTTTCTTTAAAAGTCCTAACTTGTTTTTTTTAAAGTCTCAAATTATAAATGCTATCTCTCTTAATAAATCATTCTTGTAAATGTAAATATAATTAAATCTTCAGCTTAAATTTAATGAAATTTGAAGTACAACTGTTAGATCACTCTAACTGCTCTTTTTTGCAAAGTAGAAAATAATGACCTGTTTTTTAAGAATGCTAGAGAAGCAGAAATGCACGTGAAATAGGAACCAGATGGGGGTAAATCAGGGGCCCTCTCACTCACGCCTCTTCTTTTAAGCCTATAGTAGAAAGAGAACAACATACTCCCTCTTCCTCCCCCAAATGTTGCGTAAAACAAGAAAGCACACACAAATAAAGACTTAGCACACGCGCTAGGTGTCCTCCATGTTGGCTGTTGGAGAAAACATGCCAACAAGAAGCGTCTGGAAAACTTGTGGTTGTGGAGTTTTGCTGAAGAAAGCAGAAATGCCTTCATGAAGTGGGTTTGTGAATGCATTCTTTACGCAAGTCCAGTTTGACTGAGTGAGTTTGCAGACACAGTTCAAGGCTGATGACATCAGGTCACGGTGGACTCGATTGGTGTTGATAAACTCACGACTTTAGTTACCACACAGCGCCCTCTAGTGGTGAGAGAAAGGAAGTGCTCTTAAACAGATAAAGGCTTACTTACCTTTTCATTTGTGTAGGAAAATGGCATCAATCTGACACACATCGAGTCCCGTCCTTCACGGATGAACAAAGAAGAGTACGAGTTCTTCATCAGCGTGGAGCCCAGCTGCTCTCAGGCCCTGGATGAGGTCATTGACAGCCTCCGCACGCAGATCAGCGGCCATGTGCACGAGCTGTCACGCAACAAGCAGAAGGACACGGGTCAGTATGAAAACACAACATGACAACAAACTCACTGAGGACTTGCTGCTGGGGCGGCGAGGTAGAAATGCATAAACGGGTCAACAGCTGAGAGTCTAAGAAATTATGCTTCAGTTTCTGGTTCAAAATTAGAACCAGAAACACGAAATCATGGAGGGACTGAAAAGATGTTCAGTGATATTATTTAATTTTAAGAGTTGATTGATATTATAACAGTTTGTGAAAAGGTTTTATGATCAACACAAAGAAAATGAGTTTGAAACTCCTGATCTAGAGAATGAAAAAAAAAACAAGAATGTTTGGGTGAAATTTAAATTCTGGCATCTTCAGACCCATGGTTGAAATGAATTTTATGAAGCTGCCATTATTACCAGTGAAGTGACTCATTGATAAACCAAAGACAGACATGGCAGTAGACAGTGAGCGTCGCCAGGAAGACTCATGTCCCCTCTCCTCCACCCAGACCTCTTTATTAGTTGTTTCCAGAAACACATTAGTTTAGCTACTGAGGACCAACAGGCCCGGCGCAGACAGAGGACCTCTATGTTTCTCACAGGGACACAGAACATGCCAAGGTCATGGCAGACTGAGACAGACAGGGCCACCAAGGATGCATAGACACCAAGGTCAACTGGTCAGGGTCAAGTTGGACCCAGGGAATTTACAGCCTGTTTTGGAGACAGGCTGTTTATAGGCGAGCCTGATCTGAGGCCCCGAGGCTGGAACACGCTGCTTAAATGTAGATTGATCACTGGTCCATTGTGTCGCTGTGCGCCGTAAATCTGAATGAACGAGCAACGTCATGTACAGACCAGGCACAAGAAATTATAATCGATTTATACCACTGAAGAGGAAGAAAATGGGGACTTTTCACAGATAATGATAGAGTTCAAACCAAATCAAATGTCAATAAAAACATGTAATAAATGTCTTTATCCTTCAGTGCCATGGTTCCCGAAGGACATCCAGGACTTGGACCGCTTCGCCAACCAGATCCTCAGCTACGGTTCTGAGCTGGATGCTGATCACCCGGTGAGTTCTGACTCATCCACCATCTTGTTTCTCCACATCCTGCATCTTCCCTGCATGTTTTCATAAACACGTACGTCCACGCCCACGCGGCTCATGAAAAGCCGGGCCGCGAAGATGAAAGGCCACACTCCAGCGTCCATTGTAATGGAAAGTACACAAACTCACAAATTGATGTCATTGCTTTAATTGAACCCCTGCAATTATAGATAATTGCTCCGTTTCTCTAGTGTCATTAAAGCAAAATGGATTTGCTCTGAACTGAAAGACACTCCTCAAAGGTTTCATTTGCATATGTAGATGGAGGCTCTTGTTGGAGACAGTGTGCATAATGCTGTCAAAGGCCACAGAGGGTTTAACGGAGGATTTCCACTCTTTGATTTATCAGTTCTAACATGGATTTCCCTTTATGCATTCAGGGCTTCAAAGATCCGGCCTACAGAGCCCGCAGGAAGGAGTTCGCCGACATCGCCTACAACTACAGACAGTAAAAAATCTCTTTAAAAAGTCGATTTTTTGGGTTGTTCGAGTGTGAAATGTGCAAAAACACAATTTCATTCATTGATTTTGGGTTACTTTCAAGTGCAAATGTCTTCAAGGTAATTCACAAGTAATTTTTAAGGAAGACATAAGAGATTTTTTTAACTCAATAATTCCTTAGAATTGATCAAAACTAGCTAGTTCAACCGACAGACTTTTTTCCACTTATAACAAAACATTTTCCGCATGTTAAAACTACACTTTTTCCATCAATATTAATACTAATTTATGTAAAGCACTTTGAAATGATTTTTTGCTGAAAATGTGCCGTTTAAATAAATTTACCATACCTCAGCTTTTGACTTTTTTTATTTTTTAAATAAAAGTTACATCCTGCAGCTTAGTGAAAATGAAATCCATGCATTATTTATGTTGCACTTCACCATTATTCCCTGTTTTTGTTTGTCTACAACGTAAAATTGAAATAAAATACATTATAGTTTGTGTTTGTTGGGTTTTTCAAGACACTAAGACAGGTTACTTTGCCAAGTATTCAGCAAATATCTTCATATTAATCCTTTAAACAAACTGCTGCCCTTCTGCGTATGTGATGTGTTTACCTGTGTGTCCAGCGGCCAGGCCATCCCCAGGGTGGAGTACACAGAGGAGGAGAAGGCCACATGGGGCGTTGTGTTCAGGGAGCTCAAGGCTCTGTACCCGACTCACGCCTGCCGCGAATACAACCGGGTTTTCCCTCTGCTGGAGGAATACTGCGGCTACAAGCCGGACAACATCCCGCAGCTGGAGGACGTCTCCCGCTTCCTGCAGTGTGAGCTTCATCTGGGTGGAGCCGGACTCCACCTTTCCAACCTAAAAGCAAGATTTAGATGAACATCACCTGGTTCAACATTACAAATATTACTAATGAGACAATGAGATATGATATGGACCATTAAACATTATCTTTAAAGTTTCGTCTTTAAGGGAATCATTTTAGTTTGATTTTAGCTTTAATTGCTCCCAAACAAACCATACAATAAATCAGATATTTCATTACAAATACAGATTGAATTGAGCTATTTATTTATTTTCAGATTAGGGCTGTGTAATAAGACAATATCAATATCAACAGATAATCTGATAGAACATCCACTGGACTCCAGTCCAGAACCGCACGGCATTCTGGGAGACGTAGGCAGAGAAAAGGTTTAGCAGCTCAACCTCAACTTGACTCACTCGCTCTGTGGTTACCTAGCAACTCACATGTTATTGTGTTACCTAGCAACAGCCTGTCGAGTAAGTGGCGCAGCAGCGGTTTAAGGTTTTGCTTCATAACTGCTTTCTATTTTTAAAAATAGAAAAATGTTGAGTGGAAACTGTGTTATGCCACCAGCTTGGCAGGATTTCAGATAATAAAACTTTCTAATCTATTACTTAATGCAATGGCCAATGTAAACATTTTCTATCAGATTTGTTGATGCCATAGTCTAGACCTGCTATTACTTTGCAATAATTCATAGCGACACTTTATACAACAAAAGTAAATTTATAAGTTAACAAAATGAAAAATGTCAGGTAATCTTTGGTTAACATTAGATAATTTAACAGATAAGCGCAAACATCAACTAGAAATGTTTCCATTAGGGCTAAGTCTGTTTTTTCCCCTAAAAGTGATTATTTACAATTTTACAAAACCTATCAAGAATCTTGGCTAATAATCACGAGCTTAACAGATGAGCACTAGGTGTGAATCTGGGTTAAAAAAAAGAAGCAATTTTGTGTTTTAAGATGTTCTAAAAATAATTATTAAAACTTCTATAAACTGGATCAGGTGTTTAGTTTCTTGTTTATTTTTTATTATTCTAGCAATAACAGGGAATTTATAAAAGAAATGATTGTTTTTAGAAACAAAATGAGTAAAAATGTCTCTTTATGACCCGCTGAGTCATGCATTTCTTACATAACACACAACATGAAGCGCCTTATTTTGGAAATGGCTTGACCTGATGAAATGCCCCACTTCCTGTTTGCTCATAGAAAACGCATCATGTTGTGTTTCATGTCTGCTGCCCTCCCACAGCCTGTACTGGTTTTCGTCTCCGCCCAGTAGCCGGTCTGCTCTCGTCCCGAGACTTCCTGGCCGGACTCGCCTTCCGAGTTTTCCATTCGACGCAGTACATCCGTCACGGCTCCGAGCCCACATACACACCCGAGCCGTACGCACTCAAACGTTTGTCATTAAATTAAATACACATTTTACATCAATGATGTAAAATAACGTCATGTTGTTAACAGGGATGTTTGCCATGAACTCCTCGGACACGTTCCTCTGTTTGCTGACCCTCGTTTTGCCCAGTTTTCTCAGGTATTCATTCTCCTAAAGCAAAAGTCTTAATTAAAACATTAATTTGTTGCAGATTATGTAAGTTTTTCTGTGGGACACTGAAGCTAAGGATGCATTATTTTATCTATTTTATACAGGAAATCGGTCTTGCTTCTCTTGGTGCCCCTGATGAGTACATTGAGAAACTCGCCACTGTGAGTATATTATTTAGAAAAATAACTATACAATAATAATACTGTTCAAGAAAGAGCAAATAGCTTCTGTAAAACTAAAATGGCTCCTAATATTTTTGTCTAAAAAAATTAAATAGAACTGACTAATTGATTTAAGTTTTACAAAAGTAAACATTTCACTTCACTAACTTAGTTATTATACAATATATATTTACAGCCTAGTTCTTTGCAACTAAAAAAAAAACCCGGCAAAGTTTTACTCTGTTTTGTGTTTTAAAACCAAAAAATAGAAATAAAACAATGGCTCTTTAAAGAAAAAAATCAACACAAGAATGTTTGGTCACTAGAGGTTTTCGAGGAAGTAATATTTAAAAAGAAGTAGAGTTCAGATTTTATGTGTTTGGTGTTTTCAGGTTTACTGGTTCACCGTCGAATATGGCCTCTGCAAGCAAGGCTCCGACATCAAGGTGTACGGAGCCGGTCTGCTGTCGTCGTTTGGAGAGCTGAAGGTAACAGGAAGCATTCAAACATGATGCGTTTCTCAAAGTGGGGGTCGCAGGCTGCAAGGAGGCCAGCAGGGGAGAAGATGGCGGCCTGGGAAAGTTGAGCCACAATTAATTAAAGTTTTTGTAATAAAAACTTTCTTTTTCAAAGCATCAGGACAATTCTAAGAAAATTTTAATAACTTAGGAGAAAAAAACAAAAGAAAATTACAAGAGTGGAATCATAATATTACGTGCTTTCAGAATAAATTTGAATATGAGAATAAACTCATAATATTTTGAGAATAGTCAAAAAATTACAAAAATAAAGTTGAAATAATATGAGAATAAACTGGAAATTTTACAAGAACAAAAACACAAAAAACATCCTAAAATTACAAGGAAAAACTTATTTTACAAGAATAAAATCGACATGATACTTGTTATAATAATGAGAATAAAGTCATGATATTATCAGATTAAAGTAATAATATCATAACTTTATTCTCATAACACTATTTCAGGTGCAACTTTATTCTAATAACATTTTATTCAATTTTCTTAGCATCGTAGCATTTTAGATAATTACTATAAAAGATACATTAAAATAACAAATTATTTATCATACTCATCTTTCTGATTGACTGCCAGTCAAACTTATCAAGCTAACATAGAAAATGCTAAATGGAGGCCAAACAAAAACTAAAATCAAACTAAAACCAGAAGGTTGGCAGTTAGCATCCATGCTAACTAAACAGGTTTCCTGTAGCGCTGTCTGTGGGCTAGCAAAGGGGCTAATGCTTATTTGGAGGCTTCCTGTTTCTCAGAGTGGGTTAGTGGTCCACTCAGGTTCAGTTTAATGTGTCAGTGGGGGAGCCCCCCTGCTGGGCGGCTGTGATTCAGTTCACCAGGTCAGCTCCTTACATCATCGTCCACCAGCAGGAAGTGCACTCTGTCAAATCATGCTGCACTTCCTGCTTATTGTTGCTCCGGAAACCGCTGAGGCATCTGAAGCCGTTCTGTTGTTTCTGTTATTTCCAGTACTGCCTAACAGAGAAGCCCGAGCTGAAACCTTTCGACCCGGAGAAGACCAGCCAGCAGAAATACCCGATTACTGAGTACCAGCCCGTTTACTTCGTGGCTGAGAGCTTCGAGGACGCCAAGGAGCGAGTGAGGTATGCGCTCCTTCTATAGGCTGTAAAAACAAAATGTTACCATTATCTGCTCTCTATAGTGCAAATATCACAGAACACTTAAAAACACAAAATTAACAAGCAAGAAATAGGAGCTTTTTTAAAGAAAATGATTATTTAACATTAATCCAAAAAAATACTTTAGTTATTTATTTGAAACAAGATTCTAAATCAGAGGCTCGGGGGCCATTTGTGGCCCCTTGCAATGACTCTTTGTGGTCTTTCTCTGTAACTCATGAAACCACAGCTTTATTTCACCAGACTGCTGATGGTGAAACGCTTAACACAAATGAAATAAAACGATGTAGACAAATTAAAATAGTTCTAAAATGGAAAACTTGAGCAATAACTAAAAATATTAATCTTACAATAAACTAAAAATGTTGCTTCAATTTTAATTTGAGAACAAAACTTTTACAAAATTGGAGCAAATCAATGAATTAAATTATGATAAGAGGTAGCCTAGAATACACATAAGATGATTTATAATTTATTTCTGTAGAAAAATCTAAATATTTTGTATTTAGTTTGTTTTTACAATAAAATCAGTTTTGCATTTTTCCTAAAAAAATCAAATTTTTATTGCTGAAAAGTTTGGACACTCTGACCAATAAGTTAGTTTTGATTTTTGAAACTAAAAAGACTTGGTAAGATTTTTAATATTAGATATTTCACCTTGTTGATGTGAAAGTCCAATATAATGACCTACTTCATGTTGGCGATTTGCATAAAATCCAGTGAAACATGTCGAAGTGACGGTTTGAGGTTTGGATATTTAGCTCGAGCTGCTTGTGAAACAGGAAGTTCGCCACCACCATCCCCAGGCCGTTCTCGGTGCGCCACAACGCCTACACCCAAAGCATCGAGGTCCTCAACAACACCCAGCAGCTCACCAACCTGGCAGAATGCGTCCACAGTAAGACGCCGCTTCCTTTGACAGGGGCTGATCAGGAATCAATACACGGCATCTCTGATCAATCGCCTGAACAATCAGCCGGTGGGGATTTCTGAGACTTTGGGGAAAAAACGTTTAAACGTGTTTTTATTTTTTTTTAAATCCAGATTTGATCAGCCTCAACTTTCCTGAGTTCAACTAAGAATCTAAAATAAATATAGTAGACTGGAAGGAAAGAAGGAAGGAAGGAAGGAAGGAAAGCAGGAAGGATGGAAGGAAAAAAGGAAGAATGGAAGGAATGAATTGGAAAAAGGAAGGGAGAACGGAAGGATGGAAGGAAGGAAGTAAAGAAGGAAAGAAGAAAGGAGGGAAGGAAAGAAAGAACAAAGGAGGGAAAGAAGGAGGAAAGGAAGGATGAAGGAAGGGAGAAAGAAGGAGAAGGGAAGAAAGGAAAGAAGGAAGAAAAGGAGAAACAGAGAAAGGAGGATGACAAGGAGATAAATAAAACATTATTTTTATTATTATCATCTCATTGTTATTCTGTATTTTAGATTTACGTCCTGCTTTTTGAAAAGATTGAAAATAAATGAACATTATTAACATAACAGCTGCTCCTGAATTGAAAGCTAAATTTAGCTTCGACGTTCAGACGCATATAAATGAGGCGACTAAAGGGGTTAATTTTTATCTCACTGCTTATAAAATCTTTTTAAAATTTGTCATAAAAATTAATGTTTGTGAGGTCATTCTGTAAATATTGACACTTTTAAAGCAAACTTGCATTAAAAGTCCAGTAAAAGTGTCATTATTTACCGTTAAACATTCATGAAGGCTCCTTCAAATAAAGTATCATCAACACTTTGTTCATCCTTTCACTAATTAAACTCTCTGGTCTGGTTTCTGGTTTTGTCCAGGTGAGCTGGGGAAGTTGTGCGAAGCCCTGAAGAAACTGGAGTAGCTGCTGATCCAGTTCAAATAAAACGATTCTTCTCAGTTCAGCTCAACAACAAATAAAGATTCTGAATATTAGGGTAGAAAATGTCAGAAATAATCTGCAGCATGAAACGTAAACAGGAAGTTGTCAGAATTAAAGCTGCATGAATGTTACTGAAGTTATTTTTAACAATAGACGAATTTGGTAGCCGACATCTTTTAGTGTTTAGTTGTTGCATATAAACTTCTCTTGTAGCACTTTTTGTTTCTCTGATTTGTTTCTATGCATTTTGTAGTGAAGAGATTTTTCCTGTTTCCACGTTTTATGTCTCTGACAAAATGATTTTATGCATTAAAATGTAATAAAAATAATGGATAAACAGATGAATGGATGAATGGATGGATGGATGGATGGATGGATGGATGGATGGATGGATGGATGGATGGATGGATGGATGGATGGATGGATGGATGGATGGATGGATGGATGGATGGATGAATGGATGGATGGATGGATGGATGGATGAATAAACAGATGGATGGATGGATGGATAAACAGATGGATGGATGGATGGATGAATAAACAGATGGATGGATGGATGGATAAACAGATGGATGGATGGATGGATGAATAAACAGATGGATGGATGGATGGATGGATGAATAAATAATTTCCCGAGGGAGTCTTCCCAGGGATCAATAAAGTCAAGTCTAAGTCTAAACAGATGGATGGATGAATAAACAGATGGATGAATAAACAGATGGATGAATAAACAGATGGATGAATAAACAGATGGATGAATAAACAGATGGATGAATAAACAGATGGATGAATAAACAGATGGATGAATAAACAGATGGATGGATAAACAGATGGATGAATAAACAGATGGATGGATAAACAGATGGATGAATAAACAGATGGATGGATGAATAAACAGATGGATGAATAAACAGATGGATGAATAAACAGATGGATGAATAAACAGATGGATGAATAACAGATGGATGGATAAACAGATGGATGGATAAACAGATGGATGAATAAACAGATGGATGGATAAACAGATGGATGAATAAACAGATGGATGAATAAACAGATGGATGGATGGATGAATAAACAGATGGATGAATAAACAGATGGATGGATAAACAGATGGATGAATAAACAGATGGATGTTTCAGATTAACATTTTTGTTTTAAATTTTCTCTATTTGCTTATAAAATTGTTTGATTAATTTTCTGTAAAACTGTGAATAAAAAGTAAAAATCAAATCCAGAATCCAAACGAGGGACAAATGTCCAGTGAGACGAAGAGACATAAAACATTTTGAAGAATCTAAATGTGTCCAAACATAATTTCCATTTTTGAACAAATCTAAAGTTTGGACCCTTTGATTTATTTAAATAATCGTTTACATTTTTCACCTTAACTTAGATCTCCGAATAAGTGCAGAAAATAATTAGTGTCAGTCTTCATTTAGCTTTCAAAATAAAAATCTAAATATCTGAGCATCTTAATTAGACATTTTTTCCACTATGTAACATTTATTAGATGTTTCTGCTTCCGGTTAAACTCACCTGTTTACCTGGTTTTTCCTCTCCAAACTAAACCCATCAATAGATAAATGACTCACGAGTTGCGCCTGCGCATTGTACCTCCATCAACCCGCTAGACGCGCTTATTTAACCCGGACCCGCAGCGGCAGCGGGGATGAAGACGCACCGCCCGCTCGCTCCGGTGACCCACGAAGCTGCAGCACAGCGCGGACACATGAAGACCGACGGCGCGGCGCAGGCGCTCGGCGGCAGGAAGCGGAGCCTGATCGAGGATGCGCGGCGGGAGCGCATGGGGAGCGGCTCCGCGGGGCCCGGCTCGGGGCCCGGCTCCGCGGGGCCCGGCCGGGCCGGGGACGGGGCCGTGTTCGAGGAGAAGCCCGGCAGGGTCACCGTGAGCGTCCTGTTCGCCCTCAGCAGCGAGAAAAACTCCGGATTCTTTCAAACTGGGAAAATATTCGAGGTGAGATAATAAAAAAGTGATTTAATTTAGTCCAGTATTGTTGTCATGACTTCCTCGTATAAATTGGATTTTTAAAAACCTTTTTTTATAAGATGAAATCCAGCTTAAAGTAAAGAAAAATAAATATTTTACTGAATTATTAATTACATTGTTTTATTTATTACTGAATTATCACATTATGTTGCTCCTATTTGGAGTTTGGTGCAGTTAATATCTGCTTTTAAAGTGTCTGTAAATAAATTAACATTTGTTTTTATCATGTTATTAGTTACTATAAATGTTTTAAATTAAATCTAATCCAATTCAAGTTCATTAATAACTGAAAACAAATATTTTTATTTTATGATTGGCTGCATCAAAACTAACAGGATTTGACAGAAAAGTTAAATGTAATTAATATTATTATTTCACAAAGAGCCTTTTTTCTGAAAATATTTATTTGATCATTTCATCCACATGAAACATTTCTTTGAAACTTGATTTTTGATTTAATTAATTTTATTCTCACTGAATCAATGAACTTGATTATTTGTACTGCCACTAAAATTCCTATTAATCACAAATTCATTGCTGTATTTAGAGGCTTTTAGGTCAAAAACAAACCCTAGAAAGAGTATTTATACAATCTCAAATAATTTCATTTGAATTTTACAAATAAAATGCAAAAAAAAAAAAAAATTACTAAAAAGGAAAAACAGTAAAATACTGCCAGGAACAACTAAAAAATAATTTACTTTAAATCTTTTTACAGTCGTTTAATGTGATTTTCAAGCAAAACTTTAGAAATCAGAGCTAATTTGACTGTTCCTGTGATTTAAGTTCAATCTAATTCAACTTTTAAACCATGAAATGAAGTTATTTTGTGTTCTTTTGTAAATGTAATTTTAGCTTAAGAAGAAGTACTGCTTTATATTTTCTGTAACTGCAAAAAGTTCTGCAAGTTCAAACTGCAAATTGAAATAGCTTCTAAAAATAGAGTATAATATCTGAATTCTCAATTTATTTAAGTATGTAAACATTTTATTAGTTTATACTGGGTGAATGGTCACCAAAATTAATTAATTCAGTCTTGTTATGAAGATTTGCATGAAAATAGATCCCAAAGTTAAAATCGAAGGCTGTAGTTGTAGTTTTGCAATAAAATCCAAAATCAAGCATTTGAAATACATATTAAATATTTTTAAAATATCCAATTTGATGCATGTTTCTGGTCCTTCAGACGTTTGAGGCCAAACTTCTCCATGTGGAGAGTCGGCCCAGGAGGAAGTCCCGGTCCGGACTTCCTGACCTGGAGTTTTTCCTGAGCTGTGAGGTCCACCGCTCGGACCTGGACGTGTTCATCAACTCGCTGAAACGCGTCGCCGACGATGTTCGCGCCGTGCCCGAGGAAAAAGGTAGGACCCGACCGGCGGGATTAACGTTTAGATATTTCTGAACTGATCAGTGTTTTCTGTCTCTGCAGCTCCCTGGTTTCCTCGACAGATTAAAGACCTGGACAGGTGCAACCTGCTCATCACCAAATTTGATCCAGACTTGCACTGCGATCATCCTGTGAGTGTTTATGGCTCATGTAGATCACATAATCAGATGTGAATTGGGTCACTTCACGCTGCAGTGTGAACGTGGCCGTATTTTTCTTCCAGTTGGTCTATAATAAACTTGCCCAGATTACAGAAAAATTGACTTCAATAAATCTACTGTGGTTTAAACTCTGTGACGGTAGCGACAAAGGAGTCAATAGTCAGCAGTGGAAAGACTCAAATTCAATATTTTCGTCCCTAAAATCCGTAAAAAGTTCCTCAGCAGCTTTAAAATTTTAAACTCAAATTCAAAAATACTCCATTCATCCAAAAGTGAAATCAATTAATGAGTTACAACATTTTTGGGATTAACCAGTCATTTTTGAGTACTAATCCAAAACAAACAAAATGTTTGGCTTTATTTGCTGCTGCATTATGTTTTCAGTGCTGACCAGAAATATATTCTATGTATTTTATTGTTAAATGCCAAGAAAATTACATCTCTCAAACCGGAAGATTGTGAAAACCCCAACTATAGAGACTAAAATATATAATTTATGTGATGGATATGATTTCATTTGTAAATACAAATGAAAATTGATGTTTTCAACCAGAGATTGAACATGTTCAGAGAAAACCAGCTCTGTTTTGAATTGTGTAAACCTAAATAAAAATTACAAATAATTTCGACTCATTGGGGGAAAATAAAGTTTGCACAGAAGTTTCTGCTCAGAGATTAAATCTAGGGGTAAATTAATCTAATTTCCTTCTTTTCTGCAGGGATATAATGACTCGGAGTACAGAAAAAGACGAGCTGCCATCTCTGAACTCGCATTTAGATACAAACAGTGAGTAAAAATCTGAAATATTGGTGATAAATTATGAAAGGTTCTCTCCTAAAACCGTGTCTGCTGCAGAGGCGACCCGCTGCCCACGGTGGAGTACACAGCAGAAGAAATATCCACATGGTGAGCTGCAGGCGCCGTGCGATAGTAACGGTCTGAAACGTGACAGAAAGGAGAGGTGACGTTTACCTGCTGCTTGCAGGAGGAAGGTTTACCAGCAGCTGAGGAGCGTTTATCCCAGCCTGGCCTGCAGCCAGTTCCTGGACAGCCTACAGCAGCTGGAGGACGAGTGCGGATACGGAGAGGATCGCATCCCTCAGCTCCGAGACGTGTCCGCCTTCCTGAAAGGTCCGAAAAAAAGAACCGGAGAAACATCTGTTTGGTGTTTTCCTTCAGTCAAAGTGAAATCTATTTATATGGCACTTTAAAGAGCCATATAATAAAAACGATTACGCAATAAGTTGATGAAAAGAGAAAGAAAAAAATACTGAAAGCAATGAAATAAATAAAAATAAAATAAGAGCAACAACAAATGGATACAATAAAAATACCTCTATTCAATTTCAACAAATAAAAATACGTTTTAAGGAGCAATATAAGATAAATTTAAAATATTAATCATTTTTCATCATATCAGTCAGACAATTTAAACAATTATGAACAACTAATAGTTATTTTTATCTTGTGTCTGGTTTATTTTTATTTTCCCTAAATGTGTTAAAATGTTAGTGAAACATACATAAGCTTGGTAAATATTGTTATCAACCATAACAGCAATATTAATATCAGATATCAATATCAGCTCATATTTTAGAAATTTGACAATTAAATCAGCTGTTTCTTAAATTCTGGGTGGAAAAAATATGCACAAGAGATCAACAAACATTTTTATTCATAATGTTAATTTAAGTTTTTTTTTTTTATGTTACATGAACTTTTTAAAATGTGTGACTTTTCTCTACTTTCCCTCTGTGTGTTTAGAGAAAACTGGTTTCCAGCTGCGTCCGGTCGCCGGCTTGCTCTCAGCCAGAGACTTTCTGGCCAGTTTGGCCTTCAGGGTCTTCCAGTGCACCCAGTACATCCGGCACCCATCTTCCCCCATGCACTCCCCTGAACCGTGAGTCAAGTTTTCCTGCATCAGACTCAGTTAACCGTCTGTTCAGCTCACTAACTCGGTTCAATCTGCCCTGACAGGGACTGCTGCCACGAGCTGCTGGGACACATCCCCATGCTGGGAGATCGGGAATTTGCACAGTTTTCCCAGGTAAATATTCCCATATCTCTTTATTCTCGTCAGTCAAGCTGTCTGGTTTTGGTTGAATCACCTCTAACAGTTTTCCTTGTTTGCTTTCAGGAGATTGGACTTGCCTCACTTGGAGCTTCAGATGAAGAGATTGAGAAACTTTCAACGGTAGGAGATATGAGCGTCTGCTGCCATCT